GTCGAGCACGGCGTACATGAAACTTACAGCCACATCGGGAAGCCGAAGTCCGTAAGTAGCACGACCGTCCTCACGGATCAAAATCTTGCCTCCTTTACGATCCGCACGAACACCTAGTTCGTGGAGGAATTCGAAACCCAGCGCAGCCTCATATAACTTTTCCAACGCTGTAACCAGCATGTCATTTCTCGAGCTTTCAAATATGTTCAAGGAATTGGTCAACTTGCACTTAGTGGCACATGCATGGTGACACTCGCCATAAAAAGCATTGTCGTGATGATGATTCACCCACTTTTGAGTGACTGTCAAATCCCATAAAGACTATGTTGAATGGAGCAGATAAGCTTCGATTCGATGGCAGAGGTTGAAAACTGGTTGATAGTTAGTCAACTAAGTGTTTAGTAACGTGGTCCACGGTTCCAGTAGTTACGCAATTCTCTGGGTCAGGGCTTCTTATATGACGTACTCATCACCACTGTTCACTGGTCCCTGCGGTTGCTGAAGAATCATATTTTCCCCGCTTCTCCGGCGTGATATGACAGTCCACAAGCGGACTAATACAAGTTCCAAGTGCGGGTACGTCGTCTACAAGTCGTTCATCGCCACTTCCCCCACCTTTTGTCAAGCCCCGTTCCACCAATTCCAGCGAGTTTGACGATTCCATCACTCCTCGCCAGCACATCACGTTTCCTGGCCGTTATGAAAATATTGAAATCCTTGATCCAGTCCAGCAGGGACAATTTCTTGACCAGTTTTCCAATCCAGTTGGGAGAGGGTCGGTACCTGATCGTCTCCGTTTTGGCCATCATCTCTAACGCTCTCTCGCGAAATTTCTTTATCCGGTTTTTAGACGAGCAGGATGGTTGATCCGCAACGTCATAGTTCCTGCAGCTCTGACATCAAACGTTGAGGGCTGGTTCCTTTTAACTTGGCTATCGGAAACTTTCGCTTCATCTCCAAAAGCTCTATTGTGTTCGTAAAATATTGCAACTGCCGTTTGCAGTAGCGTGTCTACAAGTCAAAACCATTCTTAACCCCCTCAACCTCCTCCATAGAGCCAACAGCTCATCACAGCCCGCCGCAAGTGCAATCCTACCACGAGTTTTGTCGTTGTGAGCTCAGTTTAAGTGTAAACTGCGCTGCATTTGAAGAGAAGCTTCGTACTTAAGTTTTTTTAGATTTAGGATTTAGGAATGGCTACATTATGATTACATCAACAGGGACAAATTGTTCCGGACAGCACAGCTGGATTTTGACTGTCGACGGATGACCAGCGACTAGCCAGATATACATGTACGGCAATTGCCCGAGTGAAAGGAGCGTGCAATTGCCTTCTGACCTGGACACAGAGGTTGCAGCCTGACCGAGCTTATATAGCGATTGATCTGGGCCTCGAGATCATCATGTTCCTACGTCGAACTGCAACGAAAGCGCCAATTATAGAGCGGCTAGGTCATGCCGCCAATCTCTCCGTGTAACGCGCGTCCTATCATTGCATCGGCGGTGGCATGTAATCATCTTCAGGCATCAACTGGGACTGATTGGATGCCGCAGGCGTGAGGAGACGTGAAAGGCAACACGCTGTAAGCATGGAGGTCTTTTTGAAAGGCATACGAACGCTGGTTTGACGGGCCACAGCACACCACCATCACAGCTCGAAGGCCCGCAGTCTTGCCACGTGTCTACCGCCGTTGGAGTATGAGTCTCTTGGCATTGGTTGGAAATCATGCTGCACCGAATCTCGTGTACAATTGACGCGGCAGGATTTAGCATCCCATCGGATACAGCAATGCATTCAAGTCCCTTCAGCTTTAAATGACTCGATGAATCCGTTGGACACGAATTGAGAAAAGTGAGGGAAATAACCCGTTTAAAATATTACCCTTTCAGAAACTCAAGTGCAGATTACAGCGGATTATAAGGGATTTTGGCGGTTCTCTGGGCGTTGCTTGGGGTTGCCCCGGCGCCGCCACAAGATGGCTCAGCGCATATTCCTGTGGCGCTTGTCACTTTGCCCAAATAAATGAGTCCATATCTAAATATAATCAAAGTTTTCTTAAATTGCTTAGACCCGAGAGCGTGATTTTCAAGTGCTTTTGAAAAATGTGGTCCACAAATTACTAAATTCTAAAATAAATTGGTTTCTGCCCATTTTCGTAATCCTGCGGCGGTTACCTATTGTCCCAAAACTACTTGGCCCTGTCTATTGCTAAAATCAACGCATCCTCTTTACTCGCTTCAATGGGCCCGAATGACGTCTGACAACTGGAGACGAGTGAGTTGGCGCTGCGCTGAGCACCGGGGTTGCCATTTCTTCATCTGCCAGCTCCTGCCTACCCGACCGCTACTCTGCTCAAGATGATCTCGGCCACTCGTCTGCAACGCGCCGTTCGCCCTGCCGCCCGTGCCTTCTCGCAGTCTACCAGCCCCAATCGCATCCTCGTGACCGGCGGCACGGGTCAGATCGGCATGGAGCTCGTGCCCTACATGCGTCACCTGTTTGGCGCCGACAGCATCGTCAACTCGGACATCAAAGCGCCCGCTGGAGGCCATCGCGACGGCAACTTTGTCTACTGCGACGTACAGGACCGCGACTCGATGGCCCGAAT